CACTGCTAATTAAATCGATGAGGTTCTTTGAGCATAAATCAAGTAGTTTGGATTCTCTCCATGGAGCTTGGAATTTTATCAGATGGAACAAATTTACAGTCGCCAGAATACCCTCTTTTTTCTCGCAAAAAAAAAAAGAATGCCCTCTTTTTTCTAGTAGTATTTGCAACACTTTCACAATAGCCAAAATACTCATGTCCTTCGATTTCATCTACTCCCTCCGTTTCATAATATAAGAACGTTTTTGGCACTATGCTCTTGTATTATAGGACGGAGGGAGTAGTAATCATCCTAGGGGGAGACCATTGCCTTCCCCAGAAGAACATTTAGGTCTGAACGCACACACGCACACCCTACCCTTATGAGCACCTTCGAAAGACTGAGCCGGTATATCATCTTGAAATTTACGAAGTCAATAAATCCAGGAATAAATGCGAGCACCGGGATTTGAACCCTGATGGACTGGGGATACCACAGTCCCTCTAACCATCCAACCACAGGTTGGTTCGCAGTTGCTACCTGTTCTGTGAGCATGTACTACTTATGTAACCAAAGGAGTATTGCTGGTCAGGACCATTTCGCATTACTTGGCCAATCAACATAATTCTAATTAAATCGCTGGGATCATAAACGAGTCTAGGCAAGCTGCAATCAGATCGTCGTTTGGGTCCTTGCAGGTGTTAACTCAGCTGGCTGCCGCCTTCACCACAAGCGAGCTGAAAGCCGGCGAACCAACCGAATCTTGTTCAGATGGAGCAAACGTCAGAAGCCCGAGTAGTATATGCAGACTGCGGACCAAATAGGTTTTTCCCCTTTCTTTGGCCTGCGCATTTTTGGTTGGACAGGCAGGCAGTGATATTCTGAATATAATGCTCAACTACAAAGATCGAAACAACAGTTTTCTCCCTTTTTCGAAAAGAGATGGGAACATGTATGCATATATAAGTGCCACAGAGACAGAACCATCATAAAGAGATCCCTACCAACCAGAGCCTCAGAACGGAAAGCGGAGCCCTAGAAAGCTCGAAAACCACCGCGCAACGATCAAAAAGCCGAAAAACGGAAGCAGACGGCGCACCAAGCAGCCGGTGTTCGTCTGCAGCAGCAGCGGCAGGGCACAGTAGGCAGTCACCTACTGTTTGGTGCGGCAGGACCGGCCCGGCCGTTCGCTGTTCGGCGTAGCATATGCTTGGCCGCTCCCGGGGGCATGGCGGTACAACTCCGGTTCTTCCTCTGCGTCGTCCTTGTCGTGGAGATCAGTGGGAGCAGGCCGCGCCTTCGATCTCCAGATTCCACTCTTGTCTGTCGACCAGTAGCATAACTGCATTTGTCGCTGCCGTCGTACAGACGCGGCCCGATCTGGGCAACGGGCCAAAACGAAGACGATGATTCTCTTCTCGTATGCCTGGGCTTTGGGCGTGCAAGAAGTATCTGTACTACATGCAGAATCTGACGTGATGTAACGTACTATTAACTGACAGTAATAGCAGAGTACTCCTACGTGCCTTTGCAGCTCCACTCTCGCTAGCAATGTAGGAGTACTCACCGACGACGAGATTCATCATCAACTTGTTTGTAATGGCCACCGACGAATCCATCCCGTCTGCACGATCGACCAAACCCTGCTTTATTTGGTGAGAGAGGGTTAAGGCGTCAGCGTTGGATCGTTAGCGGGGCGGGAGAAAAATGATCCGCGCGCGCTTTGCGTTGGTTGCTGCTGCTGTGTGCAGTCCTGGAGCCATGCGGGTTGGTTGATTCCGCGGCACTCAAAGGCGCTCCCTGAAGCTGACCGTGCAGCCGCCATCTCCCTCCGTTTGTGCGTGTCTATGGTCAAGCGCAATAATTCGTCGACGCTGCTGCTGCTGCCGCCGCCGCCTGAGTGTGATCCCTCTCGTGTCGCTTGTGGTGCTTGCGTCCTACGAGATTGCCTGCGACGCCTTTGGGTTCGGATCGACCGAGCAGATTGGACAGGTTTAATTTGGCAGATGTATCAAATATACCTCCCTGCAGTTGCACAAGCATAGATAGTCGACCAGCTGGCGATGTACAACATGGAACAGATTGCATAGGTGCGGAAATTACCCATGATCCAAAATGGTGCAAACATTCTGAGTACATTAGTTGTTCCGCACTTCCGGGATGGGTCGTGCCATCTATGGCTATGTATCGATCATGTCGTCTTCGGTGTTGTACCTTCTTTCTTAATGGACTATATGCAATTCCCATGCATGGCTTCAAAAAAAAGTACATAATCAATACTCCATCCAGAGCCACCTTTGCAGTGCTTCGATTATGAAATATTTATGGTTTTGGCAATTAAGGATTGGAGTTTACAGGCCAAATGTAGAATAGTCAAAGTACTAGTACTAAAAATAGACTTGATCACATTCGTAACTAACTCCGACCACCTTTGCAATGTTTTTTTTTAATTATGCATTCGTAACGAAAACACACAAAAGAGAATGGGCATATATAGTGGTACAAAGCACAAACCGCAGCTAAACTAACTTGCAATAGAAAAAACAGGGTCGCTAGCCGCTAATAATGATGGGTTAACTGATGCTACTACGTTGCTTAGGACCCAAACCTTAACTAAACAATCGGACTAGCTAGCTACCTACCTAGCTACAAAAAATCACCCTCTACGAACCAAACCTAAAGCTTCCACGCCTTATTTAACCCCCCTCGATCCAACCAATTTGTGTGCAAGAAAGTCCAACCCCATCCTCCTGCATGGCTACTACTACCACAGCATATCCAATCATGCAATCAACCATCTACGGCTACGCTTGTGTCTCAAAAACCTAAAATAAAAAATCAACCATGTACGCATGTCGGCTTACATACGCGTATGCGCCCCCTTACCACGACCAAGAAAGGAAGAAAACGCATTGATCATCACAGGGGAGGGGATGCTGCCAAGTGCACGCCAAGTTGCAAGGAACTTTTGTACCACCCCCTGGAATTGACACCTGAGAAAGAGGCGTGTGAGTCCACAAACCCACGGTTTCCCGGGGGATGAAGAAGAAATATATTCCACCTTGGGAAATCTACGACGTGTGGGTGTGCGAGCGGACGAACGCGTTGGGGAGGCGCCATGGTCAAGGCCCTGTCGCTGTGCCACCAACTGCGCAGCACGACCCCAAGTACGTATGGACAAGCCCCGGGTAATTACAAGCCGCCACGACGAAGGACAGGAGCCAATGATATGGACAGCCAGGACAGGCAACGTACGTACGTAGGAGAATCAACGGCTCTTCCCTCTCAAATAACAGTGGTGTGGTGTGATCGTCTCAGGTTCCGATGTTCCCGGATTATAGGACGCAGAAACTCGTATACAGTGACTGACATACCCGAATTATACGGACATGAAAATCAGCAAAAATTCGTAGTGGTTAGGCACTTCCGTATATTCTAAGAAAAATCGCAACAAAAAACAACCGAATCGTCGTATTAATGTCGAGGGGACCAAAAAATGATTTTCCAAATAACATAGCTAATGCGCAATTATAGTTGAATTTGCAGAATGAAGCGAGTATATTGTGTGAGTTATTAAAACTCAATCCGCAGGAATCTGGCTAAATTAAAGTTGTAATTATGGCATTTACTTGGTATAGAAGTGAAAGTTGTAGAAAAAATGGAATTAAAAAAAGAGAACGAAATCACACTGTTTACTTCCACCTTTACAGTGGGGCACCAATGGAAGGAGAGCTGCAGCAGCAAGGTCCGCCTCTATAGGACCGGCACAGCCGTCCTCGCCGCCGAGCTCCGGAGGGGGGAGGAGCTGGAGGACTCCGTCGCATCATCGTCTGCGTCTCCGGGTCCGGGGCACAACATGTGTAGTGTTTGATGAAATGCTCGAGAGAGAAAAGGCTTGAGAAAGGAGTGTTGATGATAACATTTGGGCCCGCATTCAACTTAACGGTCAATCAAACGGGCGGGCCACGGGTGTCATAATCGGCATCAATTTGAGCCGAACGGTAGCCAGTGTTTCCTTGCAGCAAATTATACTCAAGTCGGTAGGCATCAGCCAAGCAAAACAACGTGGTAGTTTTAAAAAACCATGGCCCAAATTGTGGTAGTAGTTTTTTTTGCTAGTTACTTTGAGTTTTTACTAGTTAAGATAAAAGAAAGTGTCACGGACGCACAAGTAGGAGGATGAAAGTTGGAATTCACCTCGGTCGACACTTGTACCACACACTCCAGCGGTCATCCACCACTCCACCACCCCGGTCGACACGCCACAGCGGGAGTGCGTGCGTGCGTGCGGCCTCCAGATCAACAACAACAACAACACAGACGCGGCCACGCTTGCAGGAGAGCGCCAACGACAAGGACCGCCGGCCTCGCCTCACTGGCACCAACATGCAGCATACGTAGGACAGCCCAGCGCCTTGCTGCTGCTGGTGCTGCAAACTTCACTTTACTACTCCCTCCGGTCCTTTTTACTTTGCATATTAGGTTTGTCCGAAGTCAATTTAATCCAACTTTGACCAAGGTTATATAAAAAATTATAGACATTCACATAACAACACCAATATCATTAGATTCATCTTAGAATATATTTTCATATTATATTTATTAGATATTATAGATGCTAATAATTTTAAATATAAATTTGGTCAAACTTAGCAAAGTTTGACTTTCGCTAAATCCAATGTGCAAAGTAAAAAAAACCGGAGGGAGTACCTTCCAATTCCGCCCTCCTCTTCTTGAGAAGAGGTCAACCCAAGCGGGCATGGCTCAAGCCCAGTCGCACAACACAACCCGCGCGCACACTTGCAACAATCAAACCCGCAGCCGCAGCCCAGCCGGCGAGCGAGCCATAATATACCAAACCCAAACCAAGCACTTCACAACCCAACAACCAGCATCGCATCATCGCCTTCCACGAGTCGCGCGCTCCTTGCCTTCCTTCGTGTCCACCACCATCTTCTCCTCCCTCGCTTCGCTTGCATAGAAGCCTAGGACTATCTATCTCTCTACGGGCCTCGCCGGAGATGTCAGCCTCGCCGTTGCTGTCGGCGGAGGAGACGACGCCGCCGTTGCATGGCGTCGTCGTGATCGCCCTCCCGGACCACGCCGACGACGGGGGCCGGGACGCGTTGCCCAGGAGCGAGGCGGCGGCGCCGGCGGTGATGAGACGGGCGTGGAGGCTGCTGCGCCTGGCCACGGCGCCGCTCGTGGTGCTCGCGGCGTTCGCGGTGGCGGCGCACTGCTACGGCCTCTACTCCTTCCCCTTCTCCGGGGAGGAGGACTGGAAATGGGGCGAGGGGCGCGCCTCATCCTTCCTGCTGCCGCTGCACCCCAAGCCCAAGGCCGCCAGCGCCGGCGCCGGCGTCAAGGCGGAGGACTCGACCACGGCCGTGCTGCCGGAGAGGTGCGTGCGTGCGACGAGCCGAGCCGGCGCAGGAATTCGAATCCCTTTCGCCTAAAGGCACAATTTGCTCCTTTCCGCCGTTTGGATTCTTTTTGTATCCTACGACGAAAGGAAGTTTGTTTCTTGGCCTTGGGTTGGTTGATTCCGTGCGCATTTGGTTCTTGTCTTCTTGGAGTTTCTCAGTCGCATTTTCCAGGGACTTCGGTTGGATCACCATCTTTGTCACTTTAACCTGAATCTGTTTAGATAACTTCTCATCTTCATTCTGGATTCCTTTTTTTTCGCAGATTAGTGTGTCTTTTTTCTGGTACACTGCATGTTTGCAAATTGGACAGCACGAATATTCTATTAAAAAAACATATATTTTTCATGAATAATAGTTTCACATGAATGACCTGTCAAAAAAAAGCACGTGAATGAGTTGAACCCTTCCTTGCATGAATTTGTCAAAGGTAACCAACTGGCCCAACAGGGATTTGTTCTTTGGAATGTTGCATTTCTGTCCTGTCAGGCCTGCTGGGTCATAAGCATAATTGACCGTCGACATATTAAAATAAGAATACAAGCCTGTATTTAGATATAGGCATGTCGCTAGTAGTATACACCAACAAGCAAAGACTTACACCGTCGACCTCTCAAAGTCAACATTTTGGTGTTCAGATCAATCTTTCTGTTCGCATGATTCATCTTTGACAAAGTCCTGTTCTTCGATTCTGTTGCCTATTAAGAATACAGTGCAATTTTCAGTACTAACATGGCATTGTTCTTCTTCTGATTGTTAATATGCAGGCAGTACTTCACTTCCATAAACATTGGCAATCCTGCAAGGCCCTATTTTCTTGATATTGATACAGGGAGTGCACTCACATGGATCCAGTGTGATGCACCCTGCACAAATTGCACAAAGGTGGGTATCATTTTCAGCCACATTTCATCTCGTGATAAGAACTCGGCCACGCAATTTCTGTGGATATCTTGGTTCCAGTGTTCCATCATGAGCCTGATTTTCAAAATTCACAGCGTTCCTGATTGGCTTCTTATCTTGTTACAGGGACCTCATCCTTTATACAAGCCCGCGAAAGAAAACATGGTTCTCCCCAGGGATTCACTTTGTGAGGAATTGCAAGGCAACCAAAATTACTGTGACACCTGCAAACAATGTGAATATGAGATCGCCTATGCGGACCGAAGCTCATCTGCCGGAGTTCTTGCGAGGGATAACATAAAGCTGATCACCGCAGACGGTGAGAGGGCAAACATGGACTTTGTCTTCGGGTACGGCACGACTTCTCCGATAACCAAACCTGTTCAATGTTCAGAGATGGGTGGTGATGTCTGTACACTAACAAACTGCCCATTTTGTGTACCATCTGTTAGGTGTGCACATGATCAACAAGGAAAGCTTCTGGACTCACCAGCAAGTACTGATGGGATCCTTGGCCTCAGCAATGGGGCAATGAGCCTCCCTACCCAGCTAGCCAAGCAAAGGATCATTTCCAACGTTTTCGGCCATTGCATCGCCACGGATCCCAGCAGTAGTGGCTACATGTTTCTCGGTGATGATTACGTTCCCAGATGGGGAATGACATGGGTTCCCGTCCGTAACGGTCCAGAGTGAGTCTCCCCCCTCCTTTGCCTGAAGATTATTCTCACATGCGGCTATCATTTCTCCCATGAATATCATGGTACCCCACATCGTCTTCGGCAGGATACGGCATGCCCTGCTTGCGGCAAATCTTCAAGAAATCTTAACCAATTCCTGTCGCTCTCAGGACTCAAACTGCAAATGGAAACTTTGCCCAACTGCTCCGCAATGTTGCTTTGTTCTTTACTTCTTTCTGATATTTGCGTCGCCTCCACAAATAAAGTGACCCCCTTTTTTCAGCAGCCGTAGCAATTGATATCACATTACACCGTCGAACTAGATTATATCCATGCACTATGCTGTGACACAGATTTCCTTTACCATGCATAAAAACATTGCGCTTCTTGTGATCTGTTATATGAAAATTCACTTTGTTGAGGTTAGACCGCGTATCTGACTGCAGTTCTGCATTTTGTGTACTGTCAGGGACGTGTACAGCACGGTAGTACAGAAAGTGAACTATGGAGGTCAGGAGCTTAATGTGCGAGAGCAGGCTGGGAAGCTGACTCAAGTGATCTTCGACAGCGGGAGCTCATACACTTATTTTCCACATGAAATATACACAAGCCTGATTGCTTCCGTGAGTTTTGGCATTGACTCTCCATCAGATGAAATGGGTTCAGTTCCATCCTTATACCTGACTATGATTTTGCAATTCAACAGCTTGAAGCGGTCTCTCCAGGCTTTGTACGCGATGAATCAGATCAAACGCTGCCTTTCTGCATGAAGCCTAATTTTACAGTGAGGTAATGTGATGGAAATCTGTTGGTAGTTAAAACACTGTTTGCTTCTTGATCATCGCAAGGGATGTAGAATTAACAACTTCACATTTCATTAGAAATAACCCTGCCCTTTCTCTAAATGACACTGAGCATTTTTCAGGTCTGTGGATGATGTGAAGCAACTGTTCAAGCCCTTGCTCCTGCATTTCAGCAAAGCATGGCTTGTGATCCCAAGAATGTTCGTAATTTCTCCCGAGAACTACTTGATCATCAGCGTAAGTTCACAGGCACCCCCAGCAATCACTTCAACCTCATTTCCTCTACGGAGTTCATCACCATCATACTTTTCCTGTGCCTCATTTTCAGGACAAGGGCAATGTCTGCCTAGGGGTGCTTGATGGAACTGAGATTGGCCACAGCTCAACAATAGTAATTGGAGGTAGCGACCGGTCGTTTGTGTGCCACATTTCCATGGCTTCACTAACCATCTCTGTCAAGCTCACCTTTCTCCCCCTTTGCTTGTTGCAGATGTTTCCCTCCGTGGGAAGTTGGTTGCGTATGACAACGACGGGAATCAGATCGGATGGGCTCAGTCAGACTGCAGCAGACCACAGAAAGCAAGCAGGGTTCCATTCTTCCTTTCGAGAGCATTGCTCGGTCAACTTCTTTAAATGGCACAGACAGATGATCACCCCGTGTTCGCCTGACCATGCGCTCACCTTTTCGACGCGCAATTCTGCGACCGAAGCTGCCATAATCATATAATGGATGTAGTTAAACAAGGGATATAGGGAAACCAAATTGGAAGAAAGGTGAATAGATATAGCCAGTACCTGTAATTTTTCTCTGCTGTATATACACCAAAGAAGCAGAACTCTGCATATCTGTGGATATGCTGTAGAGTATATCTCATCCACTTGTAAGACTAAGTGGTGAAGCATATCAATTTCAAATGAGTAGCAGTTATGTGATTTCTGATTTATTTGTTTTGTATTTCTTTCCAATATACATGAGTTTTTTTTTTTTTGGTTGGTGGAATATCGCGTGAAGGCTACACACAATGTTTAACTCAAGCAACATAAGTCTCATGTCCAAACAATGCCCAAACAAACCACACCAACACATGGAAAGCAACCCCACACCTTTGAGCAGAGTGCAACAAAGCATAGAAATGCATTAAAAGCAAGCTCACAACAAAAGCATTATGGTGACTCATGAGCAAACTAAAACACAGCTACCTTCCCATCATCAGGTAGGTCAGGAAACATCTCTCTTGCACACATTATACATGACATCGAGCTGCGCGTGCAACTACCAACTATCCAAGAGTAACATGTTATTTACAGAGTGCTTCAACATGTTAACATTAGAAATACAAGGTTCAACAATGTTACCATATTGATCAACTTAGTGGCGGCAAACAGGAGCTCCATTAGCAACGCACCCCGGCAATGTTTTCATTGCACACACACGAGTTTTGTATTATACACATGTCATCGTCCAAAATTATTAAACAAACTGGATCACAAGAGTGAGTGGCAAGGTTTCCAGGTGGAGGGACCTTGCAGCGTCATCGTCGATGTCAACTCTTCAGCCCAACAGATCTGCATATTTTGGCGAGAACCCCGCCATCATCCACGCTAACTGCAGCAGGCTCCTCCACAGGGTCCTTGAAATTAGCCTTCTCACTCAGCTCCTCAAATGCGTTAACAACATTCTGTAGCCGGGCAACAAACTCGATTAGGAGCGAGGCAAATGTGGCCAAGGACAAGGCACTTGCACTTTCATATGTTTTTGACTCCTCGTCTTCAAGCGGCAAGTTTGGATGGAATGATCTTCGGGCAGGCCAGGATAGTAACGTCTTGTAACCGTCTATAGTAGCTGATGAATCATATCGGCTAAGAAACGAAGCAGCAGCAAAGCTCTTATAATGCTGAGCCGCAGTTTGATCAGCAATGGTAGGCTCCGTCACTTCGTTCTTATTCTCTTTTGCCACCGCGCTGTTGCCATTTATGGCATCTTTTATTCCTTCAGCTCGCTTGCTAGTGTCCCATCTTTCAGTGTTCACCAGAAGATATGACTTCTCATCAATCTTTTTTTGCAACTCTTCAGCTGCCAAGTGAACTTCCAGTAGAATATCTGAAGACCTCAACTTGGTCATTGTCTTAACATTGTCTCCAAGCTCGCGCAACACCTTAGCGCCTTCTCTGCCCACTCTATGAATTTCTGAAATGAAAACCCTTCTGCTTTCTGGCGGTGCCTGCAATTAAAATCAAATATACGTTTGCTTAGGTATTAAATGCAGAACTTCAACAGGTTGTCGAGTAAAATAAATTAGCAAACCTGAATTTCTGAAAGAATGCAACCATGCAATGCCATGACTGCAAAGGAACAGTGCCTCAATGCTCCACCAACTTTAGTGAAGCCCTTCCAAGGATAGTTCCTCGTTTTGTACGGACCATGGGGCGGTTCCCATATAGCAAAACCTAGCTAGAGCACATACAAAAGAACCGAGTCAGAATTGACAGAAAAGGCAAGATAACCCAAATAGAAGTGTTAGCTTTAGAGCAAAAATTGAACCAGGGTTTCCTCTTGTGCTGACGCCTCGACAGCTGCCCTGTACCCACTATATAGAGGATCATCAGAAGCTTGATATACAAGAATTTTTGAAGGGATCCTTTCATACTCCATGCATTTCAGATATCCATCGACACAGCCTAGAGTGAACAGCCAAATTGTCAATAAAGGCATATAAATCAGATGTATACTAGTGTAAAGCCCGCCCTTTGCTGCGGGTATTACTAAAGTTTTTAGTGAGTCTATTTTGAAATATTTATATGTAAAATTTGCATGTTTAAGCACTGAGTTGCAAAATCCAAACGTTGTTGAAGTGCATAAACCAACTGAAATGTCAAATTTTGGTACATTGGTTTTCTGCCACAGTTAAGCAATCTTAATTGTCGCATCCTTTGGAAAGTTACAAACTGAGACATCTTAATTGTCTTTCCACAAAGAGACATCCTTTCACCAAGGGATGTGTCTTTTAACCAAAGGACGTGAGTGTCCCAACTGCCAAGATCTAACGGACTTGATTGATCCTGGATATAATCCAGCGACTGTTCTTTTAGAGTGATGTGGCTTAATGTGGATGCTACATTAGGAGACATTTTTAGAATAAAGAGGGATATACCCTACGGCATTGCAATGACACAACAACTAATATTTTCTAACTTTTGTTAGCAACGTATAGTTGACAAATACTGTGATTCTAAGCATCATTATATTAAGAGTGGGGGTGGGGTATTACCTTCTAAGGATTTTGCAACACCAGCAAAATTCTTTGCAATCAAACTGTGCAAATCCTCTCCAGCCCAGATTGGGTAAATGCCTATATTGATTCCCAGACTGACAGCAGCACCAAGAGCAATCAATACAAATCTACTTACAGCCGTATCAGTGAACTTCCCTGTGTTGTACCCAGAGACCATGACATAAACGAATGTCAACAAGAATACACGAAATCCATATTCATAAGGCTTCATTGTTGGGTGTAGCTTTGCCAAGTTTGTCATAAAACCTAGCAGTCAAAAACATAAAAGTAGAGGCGTACAAATTAGATACACTTGTATAAAATGCACCAGGAAATGATCGCAGCATGCCCCAATGCTTACCAACAGTAAAGATGCTTATAATAAGGATCACTTCTTCCAATGCACCCAAGTTTTTGGACAATTCGGCAACTGCTAGAGCAAGCCCTCCTGCAGTAAGAGTTCCTAAACCCCTATTGAAACCTTTGCTCAATGTTGCACCTGCATAATGGCGGACCAGGTTACTGAAGGGGGATGCCTATTATTTGCAGGTGTACAAACACAGAGCACCATATTGAGACCGAGGTAAGACAGAGTGATAAATAACTGATGTTTTATGTATTGAAATGGTATTTTGAAGACCAGAAAATTCACATGAGAAAGAAACAGTCTTCAGTAAATGCTAACTAAGAACTACTGCACGTCAGCCATGTTACGAACTGCATAATGTGCGAGTGTGCATCTGTGTGAGTTCTACAATCGGTACTACAATGAAGGGTTCCAATCATTCAACTAGAATCTCTAGTAACAGAGGTTAGCGGTACTTTCAAACACTCATTGTGAAAAGTTTACAAAATACAACTAGGTAAAAAGAAAAACATAACCACTTCATATACGGAGCCAAACACCTCATTGAGCAGGCTAAGGAACAAACATGCAAACCATGAAGCCAACGATATAAAATTCAAAAATACCACTACCATTATGATTGACTTCCGCATCACAATGATATTATGGAAGACCAGCAAGCAACATCCCAGGAAATAAAAATACCAGTTGAGAACTACAGGTGCCTTTTGGTCAAATACTAGTAGTTTGTCTTCAGAACAACATTCATTTCTTTAGTCATATGTGTTTCTACCATTCCGTATAGTAAGTTCTACAACAGGCCCAAGATCAACGTGGTCCCAAGTAAAATCTCCAGCAATAAAATTTAGCGGTGCTTTCCATCGCCCATAGATAAACTAATGAAGTTTTCTTAAAGAAAAGGCAACTAGATCACTTTCTAAGTGGTGGCCCAGAACCTAAACAATCCAGCAAAGACAGAATCTACCGGCGATCGGTACATAAATTATAGGAACACCGCTGCATTAATCTACCTATCAACAAGGTCATCTCTGGTTTCGATAGTAGCGTGCACGTTTCTTGCATCACCAGCAATAATGGAAGGTCAATTGACAGGACCTGATGGAAGACAAATTCTCTGTGTCCCTTAGCAGTGAAATATCTCACTCTAAATGATGTTGATACAGACTTCTCTTTTTGATTGAGAGGCTGTTGACATAGACTTTACACTCCTCAAATCTAAGCCTGCCTTTGAGATATAAAATGGGCAAAATGTGATCAGAATCGCACGGCAAAATGTTTACCCTCAGTTAAAATCACCATGCTCAAGTCATTGACGCATGGAGACATAAAATGGGCACACGACAGAGGCCTAAATTTAGCATTACGACATCAAGTCACGGGGAATGTTGAAGAAAGTCAAGGAGTTTTCCTTTTCCCCGAGACCTCGAACCAAGAACGGCACAGCACAGAAACCGTCGCAATGGAACGGGGAAAATGGCAGAGGAGCGGCGTGGACTGGCGCCTTACCGATGCTGAACTCGAAGACGACGACGACGGTGAGGATGGCCCAGACGGAGTGGCTGACGATGTCGCGCGGCTCGCGGAGGAAGACGAGGAAGGAGATGAGGGCGAGCGCGAGGCCGACCTTGGCCGCGAAGACGGGCTTCCGGCGGTCGGCCCGCGCGAACGCCCACATCTCGGCCACCCCGTCGCAGAGCGCGCCCCACGCCCCCGCCACGGCGGCGCCGGCGCGCCGGAGCAGCCCCTGCTTGGGCCCCCCGTCGCCGCCGGCCTGGGAGCCGGGCAGGCTCCACGCAGACGAGAGCAGCGGGACGTCCCCCCGCGCCCCACGCTGGTCCTCGAGCGTCGACCACAGCGACCCCAGCTGCGCCGGCGGCACGCCCGCCGCGCCCGCGGCCATGGCCGGATGGATCTGCGAGAGCTTCTGGAAGGGTGCCGCGCGCGCGTGGGTTCGGATTTCAGGGTGCGCAGTGTTGCTTTCGGCCTTTCCTGGTCGGCTGCGCCCGCGTGTCGCGCTCTCCGCTATATGGATGGACTCTGGTCAGCCGTGGCGTCACCCCGGCGGCTGCCGCGCGACGCGAAAAGCTGCGGAGCCGGGGAAGGGACGGGAGGAAAGCGCCATGGGTGGCAAAAGGCCGCATTTTTATATGGCGGGATGGAATCCAGCGAGCGGCTGGCCGCCGTGCGATGCGATCCGCATCCGCTGCGAGAGGTGCAAGGCCACGCAGGGCAGAATTGATCCGTCCCTTTCTTGTGATCCGGGCGCGCGTGGGGTTGAGCCGTCCTTGTGCCCCGTTGTCGGATTGGTCGGTCTGATCTGAAGAATTCTTTTTCTTTTAAAAGATGATCCGAAGAATTATTGCTGCGTTGCTACTACTAGTTCAACGTAGGTCACGGATTGGTTCTTCCTGCCTTTTGGTTTTGGACCTCTTTTTTTTGCTGGTTTTGTGATGCCAATTGCTGTTTGGGATCTGCCCCCTTTCGATTCCTCTGTCAAAGGGATATTTCAATACATTTAGTACTAGTAACAATTTATTAGTCAATGGGAAATTTTCTTGTAATGTCCTTTCGATCATAGAAATAGGTTGTACAAAAAGAGGTAATTGCACCAGGATACAACAACTTTGGAGAATATAATGAACACCAACATTCAAAGAAAACTTCTGTGGGTTTGGAGGTTTTAAAAAAATCGGAAAAAAAACATGAGATGTTAAGAGGGTGATGGTTTATTGTCATGAAAAATTCCAACTTGAAGCGCATTACAAGATATTCAGCAATTAATAGTAGCATTACTGTTCGGCACCGTTCACTATGCTGTTTTGTTATTTTTATAGCTCACATCCCATAATATATTTGAACTTGAAATTTTGTTTGGCAACAAAACATCACCCTCTTAACGTCCCATGTTCTTTTGAGATTGTTTTGAAACTTCATCTTTTCTACATGGTTTTCACCGTTTTTCACTGAATATTGGTTTCCATGTGATATTCTCCCCCCAACAACTTGTACGATGGGTTATTTCGTAATTGGTGCGTGTTGAGACTATCCCTTTTGTAATGTCTATTATAACGTGAATTTTGAACGAGGCTATGTACTATGAATAGAGTGATGCACTGCTACAAATTATGGTTTTTGTAGCTTATGTTATATGGATCTACTCATCTACTGGTTCATTTTATGATGCTTTTTTTTATTGTGATTATGTTTCAAAGATGTTGTTTTATTGCTCCAGTTATGTGTTAATTGTTGACCTTTTTTCTTCTTATACACATATAGTTGAAATGATTTGTCATTGTTCAAATTATGTTGAAATGACGATGCTTTAATGCTCGAATTATTAGTGAAGTGTCGAAATGTCTTTTAAATATTGTATTGGTACCAAAAACTTCATTGATGCAACATACCTTCGATACAGGTGATGTCTACTACACAACCTTCTTCTTGTAGACTCGTGTTGGGCCTCTAAGCGCAGAGTTTTGTAGGACAGTAGCAAATTTCCCTCAAGTGGATGATCTAAGGTTTATCAAACGTGGGAGGCGTAGGATGAAGATGGTCTCTCTCAAACAACCCTGCAACCAAATAACAAAGAGTCTCTTGTATCCCCAACACACCCAATACAATGGTAAATTGTATAGGTGCACTAGTTCGGCAAAAAGATAGTGATACAAGCGTAATATGGATAGTAGATATAGGTTTTTATAATCTGAAAAATATAAAAACAGCAAGGTAACTAGTAACAAAAGTGAGCAAAAACGGTATTGCAATGCTTGAAAACAAGGCCTAGGGTTCATACTTTCACTAGTGCAAGTTCTCTCGACAATGATAACATAATTGGATCATATAACAATCCCTCAACGTGCAACAAAGAGTCACTCCAAAGTCACTAATAGCGAAGAACAACCGAAGAGATTATTGTAGGGTACGAAACCACCTCAAAGTTATTCTTTCCGATCAATCCATTGGGCTTCCTATAAGTGTCACAAACAGCCCTAGAGTTAGTAGTAAAATAACACCTTAAGACACACATCAACCAAAACCCTAATATCACCTAGATACTTTAATGTCACCACAAGTATCCGCGGGTTTGACTATATGATATGCACCACACAATCTCAGATTCATCTATTCAAACCAACACAAAGAACTTCAAAGAGTGCCCCAAAGTTTCTACCTGAGAGTCAAGACAAAAACATGTGTCAACCCCTATGCATAAGTTCACAAGGTCACATAACCCGCAAGTTGATCACCAAAACATACATCAAGTGGATCACGTGAATATCCCATTGTCACCACAGATAAGCACATGCAAGACATACATCAAGTGTTCTCAAAACCTTAAAGACTCAATCCGATAAGATAACTTCAAAGGGAAAACTCAATCCATTACAAGAAGGTAGAGGGGGAGAAACATCATAAGATCCAACTATAGTAGCAAAGCTCGCGGTACCTCAAGATCGTGCCAAATCAAGAACATGAGAGAGAGAGAGAGATCAAACACATAGCTACTGGTACATACCCTCAGCCCCGAGGGTGAACTACTCCTTCCTCGTCATGGAGAGCGCCGGGATGATGAAGATGGCCACCGGTGATGATTCCCCTGAAGGAAATATGCCCTAGAGGCAATAATAAAGTTGTTATTTTATATTTCCTTATTCATGATAAATGTTTATTATTCATGCTAGAATTGTATTAACCGAAACTTGATACATGTGTGAATACATAGACAAAACATCGTGTCCTTAGTATGCCTCTACTAGACTAGCTCGTTGATCAAAGATGGTTAAGTTTCCTAGCCATGGACATGAGTTGTCATTTGATAAATGGGATCACAACATTAGTGGAATGATGTGATGGACAAGACACATCCATTAGCTTAGCATAACGATCGTTCGTTTTTATTGCTACTGCTTTCTTCATGTCAAATATATATTCCTCCGACTATGAGATTATGCAACTCCCGGACACCGGAGGAATACCTTGTGTGTTATCAAACGGCACAACGTAACTGGGTGATAATAAAGATGCTCTACAGGTATCTCTGAAGGTGTTTGTTCGGTTAGCATAGATCGAGATTAGGATTTGTCACTCCGAGTATCGGAGAGGTATCTCTGGGCCCTCTCGGTAATGCACATCATATGAAGCCTTGCAAGCAATGTGACTAATGAGTTAGTTACGGGATGATGCACTACAGAACGAGTAAAGAGACTTGCCGGCAACGAGATTGAACTAGGTATGAAGATACCGACGATCGAATCTCGAGCAAGTAACGTACCGATGACAAAGGGAATAATGTATGTTGACATTATGGTTCGACTGATAAAGATCTTCGTAGAATATGTAGGAACCAATATGAGCATCCAGGTCCCGCTATTGGTTATTGACCAGAGAGGTGTCTCGGTCATGTCTACATAGTTCTCGAACCCGTAGGGTCCGCACGCTTAACATTCGATGACGATATGTGTTATATGAGTTATGCGTTTTGGTGACCGAAGGTTGTTCGGAGTTTTGTAGCTTATTTATAATAATTAAAGAGAATAACAGAGTTTTTTGCAATAATACCATGGTGCGACGTTGAAGGCGAGAAAGGACGTGCGAGCGAGCGATGACCGAGCCAGAGGGAAATCAACTAGGGGAGTTGCGGGGGTTGCAACGGTGTTTGGAGTAGTTGTGGACCAAATGCTATGAAAATATAATCTAAACCGACCGAAATAAATGCCTACACAAATTAATCCAAGGTTGGAGTGCCCCTCACAATGTAAATAGCCCCGGCTTTGCGAGGGATGGAGAGGTAGCTTCAATGCGTGGAAGATACAACGTGAGAAAGTGAGGTCAATCGAGAGACATATAGATAGAGAGACAAAGTAAGTGTGGTCCGACATTCATTGAACAGATATATATGCTCTGGAGAGATATTGTCCGATTGAGCCTTTGGCAAGGGTGAGGGCTGTAAGATAGAGCTTGGGAGATGATCCAGTCACAGACGTGTAGATATATTTTGTGCGTGGGAGGAAGCAAGGTCAATCGATCACATAGCGGCATCGTGCGATCGAAAGTGTGAGACGGGTTGGAGAGAGTGACCTAGATAGACAATGTGCGCGAGAGAGTATACAATGTGAATAGGTCGAATTGGGCTCAAACATGGTGATATATCGTTTTTGTCCGAGAAAGAGCGAGGTCAATCGAGACATACAAAGAGAGAGAGAGATAGGGAGAGAGAGAGAGAGAGAGAGAGAGAGAGAGAGAGATTGAGCGAGCATGGCCCGCCATGAGGTCGAAGAGTGGGGGCGGCTTGGATGGACTGACCTAGATAGACAATCTGCGTGAGAGAGTATAGAGAGTATCGATCGAGGCCCGAGCAGGGAGATATATCATTTGTGTGTGAAAGAAAACGAGGTTAAACGAGACTCAGATAAAGAGAGCGAGATTGAGCGAGTGTGGCCCGCCGTGCAAAAGAAAGAGTGAGACAGTCTCGAGGGAGTGACCTAGATAGACAATGTGCGTGCGTGTGCACGAGAGGTTGGGGAGCTAGATAGGAAATGCATGTATGTAGCGCGAGAGGGTGAGAGGGAGAGGGAGAGGGGGAGAGAGAGAGCTCGGCATGGGGTGCAATGGCGGGTGTGTGAGGTAAATACATTTGGTACAGAGTGGAAAAGGGGGGTGTGTAGTTGAGAGAGTTAAAGATCGAAACATGGAGAGAAAGAATGAACGTGTGTTGGAAACCGATAGCTTCCTAAGGTGGTTAGGAGAGGAAGATTGACCGATACAGAAAGTATGTAGCGTGTGTGTGTGGGGGGGGGGAGGGGGGCTAAAAACAATATTTGAATGTAGATAGTACGACACTTAATATTGATGTTTCAATTCGGTGTACATTGTAAGATTTGAACTGAGGACCATGCATAT